ACGTGGACACACAGTCCACGAGGGTAAGTAATCAAACGTGGCTCTCACCACGAAATAAATGTAGACACACAGTTCACGAGGGTATATAACCAAACACAGTCGAGGCCATGAAACAAACGTGAGTACGATACTCACGAATAACCATCCCTCCATTTCACGTGCGTTGGCCATCGCACAAGGCTAGCTCCTCCTATACACACCTTGCTAGCTAGGTGTACCATGGCGTGCCAAGAGCTAACGGAACTGTCATTAGCAACCAGTGTTCCATATAAAGTCTCCTTTTAAAATCATTTTCAAACATGCGAGAAAATCATCACTTTCAAGATATAGTTCTTGTTCTCAATCAAACTCGCATGAATACTTTTAAGCATTAAAACTTGCTAACAAATTCCAAATATCCAAGTATAACTTCTAAACTGATAATATATCTTATGAATTATAAGCCATATAACTCCCCACAATCCAGAACTCAAACAAGATCTTATTAACTCCTAAGATAGATTCCTTCTCAAAACTCAATTTAGAATAACCAATTAATATTGCTCAAGCCCAAGCATGCTTCTTGTGAAATTAACGAGATTACACACATACATATAGAAAAATCAATCAAAACTCTTCTAATAGGAATTTTATCAAACACCTTGTAGACATTAATATCCAACTGTAGTACTAAGGTTCACTTTCTTTAAATTTTTTTTTCATCATCAATTTTTTTTTAAACTTTAATTTCCATGTTACCTAATCTTCTCATTCCTTCAATGGAAATCAATTGGCCATAAAGAACATTTAGATAAATTCATCCTCTACAACAGCAACATAAAAGTGAAATTATCTAATGAAAATCATGCTCTTAAACTCAAATTTTAACTTAAATCAAGCTTCCCTTTCCATATACACGTATATACAATCACGGATAGCAGCAATAACATAACAAGGAAAAAAATCACAATCTCCATCATAAAAAAATGCACGAATCAGACAAGGAAGGGGAAAAATTCAGAATTTCTAATAGCAAATCAGCCACAACAAAGCACATGAAGAAGAACCTGATGATGCCGAAAATGGAAGGAGGGAAAGAAGGACTTGATGCTCTAAGTCACAGTAGCTCACACAGAGGGAGAAGAGGAGGAGAAGTTTATGGTGAAGAACAGGGGAAGGAGATCTCTGAGACATCCAAGTCAATACTTGAACTGAGGAGAAGAGGAAGGTTGCGCGAGCATGACTTCGATGAGAATGATAGGAGAACATAGTCCTCAATGGCTGCTACCTGAATAAAGGAGGAAGGTGACACTACAGATGAAAAGGGAAAGGAAATCGATGCAGAAATGAGGAAGAGAAGTGTGACGCGATCTCCACGGCAACGTCATACGAAACTTTAGCACTTCCCCATCGGCGATGAATTGACGGCAGAGAAGAAATGAGGAGGAGATAGAATGAAGTTTCTAGATCTGAGACATCTCTCCCTCTCTCAGCTAATGGTCCTCGCCCGAATTCACTAGAAGCAGAGAAGACCAATATATTCTGATGGTATTGAGGCCAAAATGGTAATTTCACAAAACTAAACACAAAAATAAAAATCTCTCTTTTGGCCCCAGCAAGAATCAAATACATGATCTGATGTACTTAACTCATCAATGCAACTCCTACTAGAGCAAGAATCTTTCTTAATAAAATATTTTCAAAAATTAATTCAAATACAATTAAAACACATTATTATATATTTTAAATTTTTTTTATTAAAAATTCTTGGGTTATTACAGCAACGATCATTCCACTAGAAAGCTTTCCTTTGAACATAGGACCATAGGAGCCCCTTCCAAGTATGTTACTCTCATCAAATCCATTCATTGCTTCTTGGATTTCAAAGTAAGAAATCCTTCTTGGTACTCCTAAAGTTGATAAATCCCTTTCAACTAGACCCCTTGAATTTTGCTATTTATGTCTTAAAAGGATAGTCGCTAAGACAACAAAAATTATTGACACAATTATGGGTAATAAGCATTTCAACAAAAACAATTTTGTCAGTAATCTTTTTCCTGTTTCTTTTTTGCATGGAGGTACTAAGAGTTGTGGTAGACCACAAAGAGCTTGATTCATCATAAAAGATTTAGGACTCAAATTTTTAAAAACTCCTCCATTTGGAATCTCTCCTTAGAGTTTGTTACAAGAGAGATTGGCATACTTAAGATCAAAGAAAACCTTCAAAGATTTAGGAATCTCCCCAAACAAATTATTTTGGGAAAGTTCTAAATTTTTTAAGCTTAGCAAATTCCTAAATGATATAGGAATACTTCCTTGTCAATTCATTACGTGCTAAAGAGAGGATCTATAGATTTTGCAAGCCACCAATAGTTGTTGGAATGATACTTAAAATATGATTTTTAGATAAATCTAATGAGGTAAGAGCTTTTAAGTTCTCAACCCTTGATGAAAGAGCCCCAACAAAATGATTGGAAGACAAGTTTACTTGCAATATATCTTTTAAATCCCAAAAGGAAGATTGTATCTCTAATGCCGAGTTATTAGAGCCTAAGTGAAGTCCCCTTAAAGATGAAAGATTTCCTAAACAAGGTGGCATTGCTCCATAAAACTTGTTTTGGCTTAGATGTAGATAGCCAAGTGGTTTCATTTCACAAAGCTGATGAACAATTAAGCCATGCAAGTCATTTCCTTCAAGACTCAAAAATTAAAGAGCTTGTAAGCTGCCAATCGTTGTTGGAAGTGGTCTATTCAGAACATTTTGAGCCAAAGAAAGTGTAATCAAATTAGTAGGATTCCCTATTTTTGATGGTATGTTACCATTAATACCACAAGAAACAATGTCCAACTCTTGTAGAGAATCAGAGAAGGTTTCAATGGACTTAGGAAGTTTTATATACAATGGATTTCCTCAGAGGACCAAAATTTTCAAATGTCTGCAATTTGTCAATAAGGTAATAATGTTGACTTTAGAATTGGAAGCATCTGATGTGGTTAAATTGTTATTTTTTATTCGATGGTATTCCAAGTATCTTAAATCCCCAAGTGTAGTTGGTAAAACCCCTATGAAATTATTTGGTGACAATCCTAAAATGGCCAGCTTAGAAGCATTGGAAATTGTATTTGGGATTCTTCTAGAAAGCTTGTTGCCCCATAAAAGTAGCTCTTCTAGATTAGGAAGGCCACATCTAAAATCTGATGGAAGACTACTTGATAAAGAATTATTTGGAAGACCCAACATTTGCAAAGCTGATATGTTAAGAATTTCCAATGGAATAGATCCCCTCAAGTTGTTATTGCCCAACGTAAGCTGCTCAAGTTTATAAAGATTGCCTAATTCTGTAGGTATTGAACCTGAAAGCAAAAGTATTGTTTTAGATTTTGGTGAAGTTAGTCTAAGTTAATACACAAATTAAGGAAAAGAAAATATAAATATCTAATTAATTAGACAAATGTATGATCCTCAGCTTAATGTTGGATCAATAATATGATCGTGCTGAATTTTAGGTTCACTTCATAGATTAACATGTGAGGTTTTTTTTATTTGTTTTACAATATCAATCCCAAAACCTATATAAAGTGCAATTAAAATATAGTTTTTTTATATTTTTTTAGAGTTCACCAAAAAAAAAATAGTTTTTTTGTTTTTAAATGTAATGAGTGTAGACGTGTGAAAGCATGGCATCTAGATCCCCTATTGTTTGTTTGTTTTTTTTTTTTTTTTTCCTGTGTGATGACATGTCTGCTACCTCAATGTATAGCGACGGTTTTGTTGTTTCATTTTATTTAATTTTGTTGGCTGATAGTGAAAAAAAAGGAAAAAGTTTTAAAATTTGGTTATATATTGTTTCCTTTTCTATTTTAACGAATGCATTATAGAACTCTACCTCTACATGGCATGTAATTTATTCAAACAAAATTTTATTTTAAGTTTGTTGATTTCATAAATTTTTAAATTATTTGAATATTAATGGCATCTATAAACGTGAGGGTAACTTTATAAAGGATTACAGACCTTGTATATTCAATTGTTGAAAATTAAAAGAATTTTAAATTTTTTTCATACAATTGTTTTGTGAAGACATATTTTATACAATTTATATCCACCAAAATGTAGTTGAAGGCAAATGATGACACATTAAATCTCTAACGATATAATTTATTGAAATGAAACGAAAAGACAATGTTCTTTTTAAAATTTTAAAAATACGAGATACATTTGGCAGCATGCATCCTTACAAATAACTGTCACTAATAAAAAAAATTCAACTTACACATTATTTTTTGGTAAAAAAAATTTAGATGAATTGGTTTTTGAGGGCCTATTAGGGTTAAGATATACTTTTAGGCACAAAAAACGCTTACAGAGGGTTTTACAGATTGCACCCACCTGCAATGTGCTGACATTGGCCGTGGTATTTAATCTCATGATCTTGTGGGTTATAGGCCAAATCTTTACTAATTGGACTAATCTTTGTTAGTAACTTTCACATATTATAAAAGGAAACTGATGAAAGCTTATTAGCACTTGAGCTCATATTTTTATAATTTTCAAACACCAAAATTTTGTTACACATATCTCCTTACATGATACAGAAAAAAGCAGAAATATAGTTCTTTCAGATGATGCAAAGAAAACCATTTTAAAAAAATGATATTAAAATATAGACTATTGAGCTATTGATTATTTTACTTTTCTTTATTTTGAAAAAAAATATGTTTAACGTGGGCAGCAAAGTCTTTGAATATATTTTATTGTTTTGACAGTTAAAAGCTTACAGAATCCAAGTATATAATTTTCTAATATTGACAATCACCAATCCCTTTAGAAACGTATCCTAAAATGTGATAACCCAAAAAAAAAAACAAAACAAAACAAAAAGACACCAAAAGAGTTGGACGCAGTTCAAGAAAAATGAAAGAAAGAGAAATGCATTGGTTCTCATAGCAGGGCCATGAAAAGTAACATAGACAGAGTAGCTAGCATATCATAATTCGATGAAAAAATACCTTGGAAATTATTGGCACTGAGATATAACGCTTGAAGTGTAGTCAAGTTTCCAATGCCTTTTGGTATATGACCTGAAAGTTACGTATGACCCTAAAGTATTAAATTACCATTTGTTTCTTATAAATAGGCTTAGGGAAAATATGACACAACACGTCATGTAGAAAAGTTATCTCAAGCAATGCCATGAAAAGAATAGTTAAGTTTTCAATGGTTCTTCGATGATGTGGCAAGACAAGTTAAATGAAAAGTATTTGGAAGAGAAATTATGTATGTATTGATCATGAAGTCTTTACATGAATATATACAGAACGTGTGCGTAACTGACACTAATCAAATCCCATGATATCCGTACATAATACACTGTATCTCATAATATTCTCACTCACGTAATGTACAGTTATAACCAATATATTCTCTAATATAATATCTTGACCATATCAACTCTATCACTCCCCCTCAAGTTGGAGCATGTAAGTTCTCTATGCCCAACTTGCCCATGAGTGTTTGTAGTCTGTCCTGACCTAATGCCTTCATGAACATGTCTGCTAGTTGGTTCTTAGTCCAAACCTTTCGTGGTAAGATTTCCCCTGATGGATATCTCTCTCTTACAAAATACAATCCATTTCTACATGTTTGGTTTGCTTGTGGAATACTAGATTCATGGCTATGTGTAAGGCGTCTTGGTTGTCACAGTATAATGATGTTGGACCCTTTTGTGATGCCTGTAACTCACCAAGTAGCCACTTAACCTTAGTATTTCACTGATAGTGGAGGCCATTGTCCTATATTCTGCCTCAGCTGAGGATTTTGCTACCACACTTTGCTTCTTATTCTTCAAGATATAGGTGATCCCCCCAGTGAGACAAAGTAACCTGTACATGAGCATCGTGTTAAAGGACACCCTGCCAGTTAGCATCATAGTAAGCTTCCAATTGCGTGGATCCACTTAATGTTAGTAAGATTTCTTGCCTTGGAGTTTTCTTTAAATAACGCAGGACCCGCTCGACTATTATCATGTGCTTTTACCTCGGTGAACCCATGAACTGATTGAGTTGGTTAATAGCATACACGATGTCAAGTCTTGTTATAGTTAGTTATTGGAGTTTACCAATCATCCTCCTATATCAAGGGGCATCTATATGAGGATTGTTCTCGTCATCCTGTAATTTACAGTGTTGTTCCATGGGGAACGAGCTGGGATAACAATTCTCCATTTTAGACTTCTTTAGTATGTCTAGAGTGTACTTTTGCTAACTTAACACAAATCCTTGTGATGATCGTGCCACTTCAATGTTGAGGAAATACTTTATCTTACCCAGGTCTTTAATACTGAACTTCTTATCAAGAAATTGCTTAGTTTCTTGTATTTTACCAAGGTCATTTCTTGCCAAGATGATGTCATCTACATAGACAAGATAGGCAATGTAAGACCCTTGAGCTTGATAGACAACAGTGAATGATCTGCTTTTCTTGACATGAACCCATGTCCCTCAACGCTTGAGTAAACTTGTGGTACCAATTTCTAGATGCCTGCTTCAACCTATATAAGGATTTTGCAAACTCCAGACACGTGTCTCCCCCTTACGAGCGAACCCTTAGGGAATTCGCATATAAACCTCTTTCATCAAGGTCACCATGAAGAAAAGCGTTGTCAACATCTAGTTGGTGGACATGCCAATGTCGTTTCGAGGTGATAGCCAAGAGTGTATGAACAGTAACAAGCTTTACTACAAGTGCAAACATGTTGTGATAATCCTCCCCCTCAACTTGAGTGAAACCTCAAGCAACTAGTCAAGCTTTATAAGAGGTGACTTCTCCATTAGGGTGAAATTTTGTTTTATAAACCCATTTGGAGTCAATGACATGTTTGTTGGGTGGTAAACCTCTAATGTCCACATCTAGTTGGTTTCAAGAGCTGTGATTTTCTTTTGTATGGCGTCACACTAATGCTGAAAATGAATGGCCTGATAAAAGTTCTTTGGCTCATCATGAACAGTAATGGCCGTGAGATATGCTTTATGTGAGGGTGAGAATTTTGTGTAACTGATGAACTGAGATAGAGGGTTCCTGATCGAGTGGCTTGATAGAGTGGTGGTGTCAAGTGCAGAAGAGGGTGACACAAATGATAGTAATTAACATTGTAATCGGCCAAATGTTGAGGCATAGAACCTACTTGTTGGCTTCGTCGAGGTGTTGCTTCATCAGTTGAAATAGCATTGAGAGGCTCAACGCTACTGGAGTAGAGCATGGCATCATCACTATGACTAGCTTGCATACCTAAATTGGTGGGAGGAGGATCACGTGGCACTTGATAAGAACAAATTAATTCTTCATCATGGAATGCATGGATTTGTTGCGTGGACGGAAACTCAAAAGAGTAAGGGTTGACTTTGGTTTAATCTTATGGAAAGACATGCTTAATAAAAATGACATCCTGAGAGACCAAACACTCTTTCTTTATAGGATCATAAAGCTTGTAGCCTCATTTTCTATGAGGGTGGCCAATAAAAACCCAAGCCTTCCCTCTCTCATCAAACTTATCTTCTTTAATGGGGTTTCGAGCATAAGCCAGACAACCGAAAACTTGCAGATGTGAATAAGAGGGAGTTTTGACATGTAATACTTTATATAGGGTTTTATTATTAAGCACTGTAGATGGTAATCATTTAATGATGTATGTAGCTGTAAGCACACATTCGCCCTAAAATTCGATTGGTAAATGAGCATGAAACCATAAAGCTCTGGTAGTTTCCAAGATGTACCTATGCTTACGTTCTACAACTCCATTCTATTGTGGAGCATAGACACATGTAGTTTGCAAGAAGATCCCTTAATCTTCAAAGAAACTCATCATGGATCGAGATTGAAATTCTGGTCCATTATCTACACGCACTTGTTTGACACACTTGTTAAATTAGGTTTCAATCATCTTAATGAACATAGGCAAATAGTAGCCCACATCTGACTTTTGCTTCATCAAGTATATCCAGACCCCTCTACTAAAGTCATTAACAATCATTAAGAAATAATGAGCAGCTGTCAAAGAGGAAACCTTGTACCTACCCTATATGTCATAATGAATTAAATCAGAACAAGAATGTGACTTTATTAGACTAGTAGTAAAAGGTAAATAAGTATGCTTGGCTCGAATACAAGAGTCGCAATGCTTATTCTCAACATTTTTAAATGAGTCAAAACATAAAAAGGTATGCTTCATTTTCTCCAGTGGTGCATGCCCCAATCTACCAATCCATAGATTATAATCTTCACACTGATGCACGCTCATCGCCACCCCTCTCGCTACATTGGCTGCAGAAAATACAATCCGTCAACATATCTACCTACTCCAATCAAGCTCCTCAAATGTAAGTCCTAAATCACATAAAAATTAGCCACAAAAATCACAACACAACTGAAATCTTTAGTGAATTTGCTTACTAATAACAAATGACATTTAAATTTTGGAATATATAAAACATTATTGATCGTTAATTTTGATGTCAATAGCATACTGCCAATTCCCTTGATTGGTATGCCTACACCATTTGGCACTCTTACAGGCGGGATCATAGCACCTCTTTTATTAATTAGTCACGTTGCGTCATGAGTAATATACACCGAAGCCCCTCTATCAATTATCCAAAGGTCATCACTACACGCATTACTTGTCAAATTGGCCACTAGTTGAGCTTGCTTTAATCTACTAGCATCAAGATTGAGACATTCTATAAGCTTGGCATACTGTTCAGATGTGAGTCTTGGTATAGGGCTTGATTCACCACTAACCTGAGCTGCTTTAGATCCAAAGCATTTTTCCTTTTGATCTCAACCTCCCTTCTTCCAATCTGGTGGGTAACCAACCAGATTATAGTAATGATCTTTACTATGTCCAATCTCATTACAGTGGTTAAATTTTAGCTTTTGCCGCTTACGAATTCCTTCCCTAGCTCTTTGATCATTTTGTACTTGGAAAGCTGCTGCTTCAACCTCTGGCTTATATGTGGTAGAGATGTGTTTCTGCTGCTCATCCTCCACCACCAAATGGTACGCAATCTCGAGTCGCAGTATAGGCTTCATGCTCAAGATTTGTATTTTGACTGTGGCATAACTTTCATCCAAGCCTATGAGAAAGTCATATAAATGATCTCACTCCTTCATTTTTATCAATTGTTTCTGTAGCTCATACTTACACCCACCGCAAGTACATTTCGGCCATGGCATGATGGAGTCAGCCTCATCCCAATAACCCTTTAGTTTTGTGAAGAAGGTTGGGACAGACTGCTTTTCTTGATGTGTGTATGCAATGGCACATCTCAGCTCATATGCTTTGGGTGCACTACCTTTTCCAAATCATTCTTTGAGATCGACCCATACCTCTCTAGCCATTTTGCATATCGAATGCTACTTCGTATCTCTTTGTGCATTGCGCTCTTGAGCCACCCTTTAACCATGGCATTGCAACGCATCCAATGATTGAGATTTGGAGAGTTTGCTGCGGGCATCAAAATCATTCCGTCGACAAAACCAATTTTGTTCTTAGTGAATAAAGCATTGCTCATGTCATTCACCCATTCTCCATAGTTTCCTTCACAGAGCAGTTCACCTATGTAAACTTGTCCTGGGTTATTGGAAGCATGGATGAAATATGGTGACATCACATCAACCCCTACATTTTGTGCATCAGGATGGATGTTCTCATTGGTTTTCTCACTCTTGACCATGGGTTTAGTTTGGCTTCAAAGACTATTTATGTTTTTGTAATCAATTGCTCTAATACCATGAAAAATATGTGGAAGAGAAATTATGTATGTATTGATTATGAAGTCTTTACAAGAATATATACAGAACATGTGCGTAACCGAGGCTAATCAAATCCCATGATATCCGTATGTAATACACTGTATCTCATAATATTCTCACTCACGTAATGTACAGTTATAACCAATATATTCTCTAATATAATATCTTGACCGTATCAACAATATCATTAAAGACATGTAGTAAAGTATATACTTTTCATATTTGTAAGATGATTGATTTTTAGAATATCTCCTACAGTTTCTCTTCCAAT